ATGAGTGTGGAAGAGTTTTGGTGATATATGCTTGGTCCTATCACCTTTTATGTATCTGCCCCTTGTTTGCGCTATACAAGCAGCATTGTCTTCGTAAATGACTGTGGGCGTGTCTGTAACTGGATGTAATTGACAGGAATTTCGTATATGAGATATAATTGATCTTAGCCAAACACATTCTCTGCCTGCCTCATAAAGAGCTATTATTTCAGAATGATTTGAGGAGGTGGTCACCAACGTATGTTTGGTAGATCGCTAAGATATACCTGCACCATTATAACAAAACAAATATCCATTTTATGAGCGATCTTTGTGGGGATCAGATCTATATCCCCCGTCGGCATAACCAACTAACCCTTGGTTAGTTGCGTTCTTCGAATAAAATAATCCCAAATCTGCAGTACCACTAAGATATCGAAAAATATGTTTAACACCATTCCAGTGTCTCCGGGTAGGGTCAGAACTGTATCGCGCAAGCACATTTACCGCAAAAGTGATATCAGGTCAAGTGCATTGTGCTAGATACATTAACGCTCCGATTGCATTAAGATACGGCACTTCTGGGCCAAGTATCTCTTCATTAAATTCTTTAGGTCGGAACGGATCCATTTCAAGATCTAAATTGCGCACAACCATAGGGGTGCTCAATGAATTAGAGTTTTCCGTATTAAACTTTCGGAGTACTCGTTTGGTATATGCAGATTGGTGTATAAGTATGCCGTTATTTTTATGCTCAAGCTCAATACCACGACAAAGTTTGGTTTTTTCAAGGTCCTTGACCTCAACTCTTTCTTTAAATATTCGGCAGCATTGGACAACTCTTTAGGAGTGCCAATGAGGTTCATGTCATCTACATAAACCGCAATAATAGCAAATCCGGTTTCTGATCGTTTAATAAAAACGCATGGGCAAATAGGATCATTTTTATAACCTTCTCTGATAAGGTATTCACTCAATCTATGATACCACACGCGACCGGATTGCTTTAGACCATACAATGATCCCTGTAATTTGATTAAGTGCAACTCACGAGGAGCACCAGAGTTTGGCATTTTAGATCCATCGGGAATTTTCATATAAATATAAGAATCTAGTGAACCATATAGATAGGCCGTTACAACGTCCATTAGACGCAGGTCCAGTCTCTCTTGGACAACCATATTGATAAGAAAACGGAAAGTGATCGTATCCATCACTGGTGAATACGTCTCATCATAATCAATCCCACGCCGCTGGGAGAAAGCTTGAGCTACAAGGCGGGCTTTATATCTTACAATTTCATTGTTCTCGTTCCTCTTACGGACAAATACCGATTTATACCCAGCGTGCTTTATTATCCGGAGCTTAAACGATTTGACCGAATACTTTCCGTTTATCTGAGGAAGCCAATTCAGATTTTATTGATTCCTCCCACTTAGGCCAATCATTTCTTTGGCGGCATTCCATTATGGAACGCGGTTCATTATCATAATCATCGTACATAATTTCTTGTGCAACCGAGAATGCAAAAATATTATCGATGATTATCTCATTTCTATCCCATATTTCATTGCAATAACTTATGGGATTCACGGTATTCCCGGGATTTGATATCGCTTTTTCGATATCAGGCTCAACAGATTCATCTGGAGCATTCTCACTAGGAACCACTTGGTTCGAGGGTTCATCGATTTTCCCCTTTCTTTTTCTAGGAACAACGTCCTTTGATCCAATAGGTCTACCCCGTTTTTGTCGTGGGGGATCATCATTCATTTTCGCATGTTCTTCAGGAACAACGATCCTAGCTGGCACATTCACAGCTGGAATATAAGATTTCGTGACTTTACTAGCATCATTAAATGCATCAGGAAGTCTATTGGCAATATTTTGTAAATGAATGATTCTATGGATCTCATTGTCACATTCAGAGGAACGTGGGTCTAGATGGGATAAATGTTGCTCACACTATGTGAGATTCTCGATTGGTTTTTGTTTATCATTATCACGGATATTTTGAATATTCTTACCAATCGGTATAAATAATGTCTCATCAAAATGACATCCGCACAACCAAATGTGCGTAGATGCCAAATACTGGGCTCAAAGCCTAATGCCAATTGCATTGGGGAATGCATATGATAAGCAGTGGGGCGCAATTTAATCAGTGCTGATGCATGCAATGCTGCATGGCCCCATGCTGCGCTAGTGAGTTTAGATCCCATCAGCAAAGTACAAGCAATTATTTGGACGAGTTTAATCAGAGATTCTGCCACTCCATTTTGAGTGTGAACGTATTTATTCCTAGTGCTGCACAATACTATTCAAAAGTTTTTAATGTAAATTCTCCGGCATTATCCATTCTTATGTTTTTAATGAGATAATCATGGAAATGTGCTCGGAGTTTAATAATTTGTGCTAGCAAACGCGCAAATGCAACATTTCGCGTAGATAAGAAGCATACGTGGGACCATCTATAAGATGCGTCGACCAAAACGATAAATGGCCCACTTGCAGGGTGTATTGATCCACAAATATCACCATGAATACGTTGTAAAAACGATGGTAATTCATAACCAACATTTTCAATGGAAGGTTTTATAATGAGCTTTCCCTGTGAACATGATTCAGAGAAATATTCATTGGACATCAAGATTTTTGTATCTTTTAATGGATGTCCTTTAGTATGTTGTGCAATCCTACGCATCATAGTCGTTCCTGGGTGACCCAGTCGATCATTCCATAACCCGTGTATATCGGGATTAACAAGTTTCCATGGCATAGTAGCACGTAGGATTCAAAAGCTCGAATTTGGACACAGTACAGTTCAGAAGCTGTCGCTTCGAACTTCTCATGAACAATTCTTTTGTCTATGACATATGACGCATAGACATTCCACGGTATTTTCAACCAGTGTTTCTAAATGATACCCATTGCGTCTCACATCTCTAAAACTCAGTAGATTCTTATTTGATCTACCAGATATCAGTGCATTTTCAATATGTGGTACCATTAGGAAACACAATTGTTGCATTCCCAGAGCCATCAATTATTTTCGCGGAACCTGCTATGGTTTTAACTTATGCCTTGCACAAAGTCACACTCGATAAATATATTTTACGCTGCGGCTATATGCAATACTAATTCCACTTGTGCAAGACCAAATTAAAGAAATATTCTAAAAGATTCCATTTTATTAAGATGAATTGACAAATATACCCATAAATTAAATTGTCTTTTGTTTGCTCATGCAAGACCAAATAACAAATAAGAAAAAAATATGAAACAACTAAATTTCGACATTAAGGTGTCGAATATATGTCAATAAACAACTAAAAATATGATGCCAAACTATATTAAACTTTAAAGATTTCTGTGATGAGGTCCATTAACAACCATTTTTATTATTCTAGGTATATCTATTTTACAAATAAGCTCATCCATTTAATATGTCTTATAAATAAAGGTAAACTTTCTGTATATGATAAAATTACTCTCAACCCTTGAAACCTAATTTATAACTGTAACATCAATTTTGACCAAAAAGAATTTTAAAATTTGACCTTTTCTTTTTCAATTTTTTTAAGAATTATTTTTTTTGCCGCCAATTTTCGGCGTCGAATTTTCTTTTCTTTTTTTTTTTTTTCAGATGATTTTCAGCATTGACTGGCAGTCAATGCCGATCTCCGGCGTTGATTTTTTTTTTTTTGTTTTTTTAAATTCTTTTTTTTCTATTTTATTTTCGCCCGCAGCTAATCGGTGGCAGTAATATTATATTACTGTCATTGACAGTAAAGTTACTGTCAACCACATTAATAATATTTTTTTGCCTTTTTTTTATTGTGTTTTGATATGTTGACCGGTTAACGTACTAATATTAATGTCTACTATTGTAATATTACTGTGGTTAACAGTAAAATTACTGCACACAAAATAATATTACTGTCAACCACATCAATTTTATTTATTTATTTATGTTTTGGCCTTTTGTATTTTGTTTGATTTGTTGACCGATCAACGTAATAATATTAATGTCTACTATTGTAATATTACTGTGTTGGTGGTGACGCTGCGTTGGGCACGAGAATGGTGCTCGTTCGGGTTGGGGGATGGTAACGGTGGCGCAACGATGTTGGGGTTGGGGATGACGACGACAGCGTGGGTAGGGTTTGTGGCATCTTTAGCGGCGTGGGTGATGTTGCCGTTGCGGATCTAGGATTTGGTGGAGGAGATCTAAGGTTTGGTGGGACGGATCTAAGATTTTCCGATTTCATGTCTATGTGTGTCTATGATGTCTAGCGGCTAGGGGTCAAATGAAGAGTTACGATTTTAAGAATATACGACTACGGATTACTACATTTTCCCACGAGTGTCTATACGTGACTACAGACTACTACAATTTCCTACGGGTTTCTATAAAGGACTATACGACCAGAAAAAGTTAAAAAATAAAAATCATAATTTTCAATGTTATGTAGAAAACAAGGGGAAAAAAATACGAAAATGCAAAAAAAAAGTTCTATAAAAAAATAATAACAAAAACACTAGATGCAAAAATGAAAATATTTAATGCAAAATAAAAATAATAAATACAATTTAAATATTACTTGATGCATATTTTACTGTTTATGTGTCAGGATATATAATTTTTAGAATGAAATTTATAAAAAATGTGAAACAAATATTTAATTTGACTTGTGATTTGGTTATAATATTTTTTCTTCATCAAGACCTATGTATTAAAGCCCCTATCATCATTTAATTGTGTAAATGCAACTTATCTATTATAGGATCCATAAATAAATTTAAAAACAGATAAAAAGAAAGAAAGGGCGTGGGGTCGGGTCGGGTCGGGTCGGTCGGGGCACTTAAAAACTGCCATTATTTGTCCAACCGTATCCCAATTGAAATAATAAATCTTTACTTAAATATATATATATATATATATATATATATATATATATATATATATATATATATCTGGTTACTTCTGCGAACTTCATTACATTGCTGACAAGTTTATTTTTAATTAATTTTATTTTTTGGTCACAATCTTTTTTCATAATATATATGTTTGGCAAAATCTTAGTTTCAAATCTTCCAAAATAAACATGGAATTGAAGAACATGGTTGCTCTTGTTTCCCGTACCGGCAGACAAATGCAGCGTTACAACTTCCATGGTGACCGCCAAGTTGTTGGGTTCGTCTCTCTCTAAAACTCTCTCTCTCTCTCTCTCTCTAAAACTCTTTCTCTCTCTAAAATTCTCTCTCTCTCTTGATATATTTTGTATAGAAATTGACGGTTCAGTTTTATGTGTACAGATGTATTCCGTACAGATACAAAGACACGTGCGAGACAACGACGTCGTTTCCGGTGGATGAGGAAGAAATTGAAGTTCTTGTTATCACTTCACAGAGAAAAGGAAAAGGGGTTTTATTTCCAAAGGTATTTTATTTTTTTTATTTTTTTATTTTTAATCAATTAGTTTGGAAATTCATTTTTGATTTGATTAATTGATAATAATAATAATAATAATATTTTATTGGATTCAGGGAGGGTGGGAAAACGACGAATCTATTGAAGATGCTGCCTTGCGTGAAACTGTGGAGGAGGCAGGGGTTGTAGGCGATGTTCAGGTTTTTTTTTTTTTTTTTTTTTTTTTTTTTTTTTTTTTTGTCTCCAAATTAATTATAAAATAATAATAATAGTAATAATAGTAATAATAATAATAATAATAATAATAATAATAATAATAATAATTACGTTTTTTCTATTTAATAAGTATAGAAATTGTGAAAAAATGGATCATAAATTGGGCAAATTGAATTCCAAGAACAAAAGCAGTGACACCGGCTATGGATAAACAAATAAATAAATAAATAAAAATATATAATATATAATTATATAATTATTTTTTTCCGATTTAATAAGTATAGAAAATGTGAAAAACGCAGCATAAATTGCGTAATTGGAATTTCAAGAACAAGAGCAATGACACTGGCTATGAATATATAATCACTGTTTTTCGAGTTTTTTTAGCGCCTAAAAAAATTGAAAATAAAAGTTATTTTATATATATAAAATTACATTTTTTCTTATAAAAATTGTGAAAAAAATGCAGCATAAATTGGGTAAATGGAATTTCAAGAACAAAAGCAATGACACTGGCTACGAGAGTCATATGTTTCCGTTACTTGTTAAGGAGCAGCTCGATTTCTGGCCGGAGAAAGACGTTCGTCAAAGATTATGGGTAATTATTTGTTCTTCAATTTGTTTTTTTTTTTTTTAAAATTTCAATTAAAATCTGATTTGTTGTAAAATATATATACAGATAAGTGTAGGAGAAGCTAGAAAGGTTTGTCAATACTGGTGGATGAAGGAAGCTTTAGAATTACTAGTCAATCGTCTCACAACGCAACCTAACGAAGCTAACGAAGATAACGTTTCTCTTAGCCAGAGCATGAAATCTAATTTGTAGTTTTAAAAAAAAACGAGAGACGAAAAAAAGCGACTTCAAATCGAAGAATTAAAAACGAGAGAATGATCAGTGTTGGCAAAGAGATGTACACTGATCTCGTTTCGTTTTTTTTTTTTTTTACCTTCGGATTCTTGAAAGTCTTTGTATAGCTTTTAAGCTCGTCGGAAAATCTAGTTTAGTTTATTATTCCTGAACTCCAAGCAGAACTTTTTTTTTTTTTTAATATGTATGAGGAAATTGTTTAAACAGCCTCTTTCTATTTAATTCCATGGTGTTCTTGATTATATACACACACACACACACACACACACATATATATATATATATATATATATATATATAAATTAATATCAATGTGAAATAAAAAAATAGAGTGCTAAAGAAAATATAATTTTATTGCAATAAAATAGACAACTGGTATCTCAAATACAATGTAATAATCTTCACTTCTTAACTTATTTTATATTATATATATAAATATATTACTAATTATTATTAATTAAAATTAATCATGTTTATCCTTGTTGATTTGATGAAGTATGACAACAAGGGCAACAACAAAGGCATAATCAACTTGTGGATAAACAGTCACACCAAATGTATCCTTCCCAAGTACAGTATTACAAAGTGTGTGCTTCTTCTGCATCTGCAAAATATATATATATTTTTTAAATAATAAATAAACAAATTCATCGTTAGTAATCGTAAAATGCGAATTTTTTTTTCGATTAAAAAATTAGAAGAAAAATTAGTAACGAAAAAAAAACGTTTAATTACCTGAGCAATGGGAGTCGAATTTTTATCGTATATGACGCACGATCTCTCCAACCAGCTCCCGACAACCTTAAAATCCCACGAGTTTCTGTCGGGATTTTCCGACAGAAATACGTCTAATTCGGTCTTGAATTGGACGATCGAAGATGTTTTAGCACTGAAGAGTAAATCTTCTGCATCTGAGCTCTCTCCCCTGAAAACTTCCCACCTTTTGTGTGCACTCAAATGCTAGTATTTTTTAATTTATTTTTTGTAGTTAAATCAAGAAATAAATATCGGATCAAGAAAACGATTAATTAACGGTACAGTAGATTTTAAAATAAAATATAAAAAAATTTAAACCTTTTTCTTGAAAGTGACGATGGGAGTGCCTCGAGCATCGAGGAGGACGTGGCGATCATGGAGAGTGAAGAGCTTATCGATCACATTAAAGACGATATTGCCCTTGTCGTCTTTGACGATGAAGTTACCGTCTGTGAGGGACACGACTTTCCTCACCACCGTTAGATGAACGTCTTCTGAAAGGCAGAAGTCTCGACTAATTACGACAGCCATTCTTTTGATTATTGCTAATTGAGTTGGAATGATTATTGCATTAGCTGCAGCTAATGTATATATATAATGTTCAATTGATAACTTAATTAAGGTTTGCAAGAAGAATAAAAAAGATGTTGTTTGTTGTAATGAAATTGGTGTAGTTATGGTAATATTAGCCTTATCTTGATAATGTAGTCTTGAAATTCTTTTCATATTGATTAGTATTAGGAAAAACTGAAGAAGCTGTTTCTTAATTAGTCTATTACAGAATTATTCCGAGCTTGTTTATTTATTTATATTTATTAAGAAGGAATTCGCCGCTACATATGTGCACTGGGTAAATTTTGTTCTCGAGATATAAATTATATTGAGCAATCATATGCGACAAACTCGAACTTCAAAATGTTGGTGGATAAATCGAATTTGGATTGTTAGATATCGCGCTTTCTTACTGAAGAAATTGGACCACGGTTGTTGGCATTAATTTCTGAAGATAAATTGTGGGCAGTGTTTCTCTAACTGACATGTTAAATGACGTTTCAATTTTATAAATGTTGTTTTGACTTTGAACGTGATTTTAATCCTTTCCTATTTTGATTTTAGCAGAATGCAAAATACAAAAATTGTAGTCCTATGAGATAAGTTTCTAATTCAACTTGAACCAGCTAGATTGGATGTCGGGTGACGTATTTATGCATGGATGAGTTATGTTTTGAATTTTAAACAATTCAAGACATTAAATTATGAGTATTGTACATTGAATCATGCATATCTTTCTATCCCGCCATCCAATTTTGATGATTCAAGTTGAATTAGAAAACTGATTCAAAGAACTAGAAATCCTGAGTTTTGAGTTTTGCCAAATTCAAACTAAAAAATGGTAAAAGTTACATTTGAAGTCGAAACAATATATTTAAAACTGAAACGACATTTATCATATCCCCTCACTAATTGCTATAAAGTTCACTGTAATATTTCATTATCAAAATTCCTCTATGATTAAATCTTTTTTAAGCAAATCACCTCCTAAAAATCAAGGGCATTAATATTTTAATACATGTACTATTAGTGGATATTTGCTAATATTAATTAAAAGAATATATTTTTTTAAAAGTACTAAATACAATAAAGCCATCTGATAAACTGTAGCCTTTCAATTTGCGTACTAATGTAAGAAGTAGGGTATTGATTCGATCTCCTTCAAGGTTGTTTCTTCATGCAATAAGCAAGGTATTTTTATTTACATGTTTAGGTTATTTGTCATTTTTACTCAAAAGAAATAGAGAAACTAAACTAGATAGAGCTAAGGAGAATTTTAAAAGGTGTCATAAAGGAGAAGATATTAGAACTTTGTTTAAGGGACTTGCTATTTACGGTTAGAAAATTGCTATTCGCGGCTTATAACAAAAATCTTTATCTCTCTAAACACCAAAACTTTCCAAAAAAATCCAAAAACCTCCCAAAACGCGTAAAAGCCCAACTTGGGCGCCCATTCATGCAGTGCACGCCCAAGTTGGGCGTGCAAGCTGTATTTGGGCGCCCGAGTTGGGCGTCCAGTGCAATTTTTTTTTAATTGAACGCCCAAGATGGGCGACATGTTTTTTGCGAAAAAAAAGCCCTACATATATATACATATATACATATATATACATATATACATATATACATATATATACATATATATATATATATATATATATATATATATATATATATATATATATATATATATATATATGTATCAATTGATGTTTGATCTATGATTCTAAGAGCTTAGAACTGGACTCACAATGTTGATCACTCCATTGCAATCGAACCCGGAATTCCACAAATTCAGATTCCAACAACGTTGCCACTTGTAAGGGTTGCCAATCTAGTAGGAACTCATCAAAACCTTCAAATGTAAAACCCTCCAAATATTGCCGGATATCGTGGTTTCCAGTACTATCGATCGTCTTTTCGATTTTGCAGAAGAAATCACGAGCTTCCTTCACTTTCCTTTCTTTGTTCCAATTTTCTTGCGAAAACCAGTGCGGAGTTACGTATCTCGGACGACAAATACAGAACAAACCATTTAAAAGATACGTAAACGAAGACGATCGACCAATTTTCAGAGTCAAATCATCCACCACAACGTGCCGATTACCAACATTAATAACATCGTCGTCTTGACCGAGAACGTGCAGATTGTTGTTGTTAGGGGAACAATGAAATTTTTTCAGACAGATTATGGAATGACGTAAAGCATGGATAAATTTGCTCAGTATGTGGAACCACGACGGAGCACCATCGACATCGTGACCCGTGATGCACAGTTTTATATTCGACCACCCGGAAGTTGGTGCGAAAGAGACGTACGGGACAACGAGCCCCGTATAATCAAAACACTCCATGTTTGGAGCGTCGATGCACAATACCCGAGATCGTTCGACCAAATTGCTAGAGATATCCACATTCTCTAGGAATAAATACTTGAGGTTACGCAACTTACGGTAGTGGAATCGAACCTTACTACCGTAAATCGTGACTTTTTCAAGAGCCGGGGCGTCGATTTCAACGTTGCGTTCGTCTTTTCGATAAATGGCGTTGTTAACGAAAGTGAAGTGCTTGAGATATTTGTGAAGGTTCTTCTCCAACTTGATAGTTTTCAACCCTTTACAATCTTTGAGCCACAATGTAGTAATCAAAGTGCAGCTCGATATTATCTTGTCGAAAATCTCTTGCACGATCAAAGCATTTTTTAGGTGAAGTAGTTGTAGACGCACAAAGGTTATATTCTCAGGAATATTCCGGCCCAAATCGCAATAATGGAGCCACAAAACCTTGAGGGATTCGGCTTCTAGGACTACGGGGAGATCGACGATCACCCGACAACTATTTTCCCGAAGAATATGAAGACAAAAGTCCTTTACGCCCATAGTTGCAAGTTCCGCGATCCACTTATCGAGAAGCGAAAGCGAGTCGCGATCCGACATGCAAAGGTGGAAGTCCTCCAAGCGCAGCCTTCGATCGCAGTATCGCTGTAAAGTCTCATCAACAACCGATAAGAATTCTTGCTTCTTACCTTGGAAGTAAACATTTTTGTCTGAAAAAACAAGATTGGGGCGAGAACACCAAATGTAGCGCCACGATTTCGACAAGAGAGATGTTCGGACAACGTCTTCTTGGGAGAGGAAATACAGTATTCTCTGCAATATCTCTTTCGGCAACTCGGATATCCTATCCATGGAGTTCGAGCTGTCGGAAAATCAAGCCCCAGTAGATTGAAACACACAGATTTCGGCTGCGGTGAATTCGAGGATATTTTTCATTAGGTTAAAAAGTAGCCGCCGCTTTTTTTTTCATTTGCTGAAAGTCATGTTAATCATCTAACCCTTATTGAGACTTATGTGAAGTGACATTTTTACCCTCGAACAAACCAGCGACTGTTTTCATTAAAGGAACTCTACTTGGGACACGTGGATGAGCAGGAATACAAGTTTTTGCTATAATTATTTTATTTTTCCAGTACTCTCGATCGTCATTTCGATTTCGCAGAACAAATCACGAGCTTCCTTCACTTTCCTTTCTTTGTTCTACCTTTCTTGCGAAAACCAGTGCGGAGTTACGTATCTCGGATGACTAATACGAAACAAACCATTTAAAAGATACGTAAACGAATACGATCGACCAATTTTCCGAGTAAAATCATCCACCACAACGTGTCGATTACAATCATTAATAACATCGTCGTCTTGACCGAGAACGTGCAGATTGTTGTTGTCCGGGGAACGATGAAAATTTTTCAGACAGATTTTGGAATGACGTAAAGCATGGATAAATTTTCTTAGTATGTGGAACCACGACGGAGCACCATCGACATCGTAACCCGTGCTGCACAATTTTATTTTCTGCCACCTGGAAGTTGGTGCGAAAGAGACGTACGGGACAACGAGCCCCGTATAATCAAAACACTCCATGTTTGGAGCGTCGATGCACAATTCCCGAGATCGTTCGACCAAATTTAGAGATTTCCACATTCGCTAGGAATAAATACTTGAGGTTACGCAACTTTCCGCAGTGGAATCGAACCTTACTACCGTAAATCGTGACTTTTTCAAGAGCCGGGGCGTCGATTTCAACGTTGCATTCGTCTTTTCGATATATGGCGTCGTTAACGAAAGTGAAGTGCTTGAGATATTTGTGAAGGTTCTTCTCCAACTTGATAGTTTTCAACCCTTTACAATCTTGGAGCCACAATGTAGTAATCAAAGTGCAGCTCGATATTATCTTGTGGAAGATCTCTTGCACGATCAACGCATTTTCAAGGTGAAGTAGTTGTAGACGCACAAAGGGTATATTCTCTGGAATATTCCATCTCAAATCGCAACAATGGAGCCACAAAACCTTGAGGGATTCGGCTTCTAGGACTTTGGGGAGATCGACCATCACCCGAGAACTATTTTCCCGAAGAATATGAAGACAAAAGTCCTTTACGCCCATAGTTGCGAGTTCCGGGATCCCATTATCGAGAAGCGCAAGCGAGTCGCGATCCGACATGCAAAGGTGAAATTCCTCCAAGCGCAGCCTTTGATCGCAGTATTGCTGTAAAGTCTCGTCGACAACCGATAAGAATCCTTGCTTCTTACCTTGGAAGCAAATATTTTTGTCTGAAAAAACAAGATTGGGGCGAGAACACCAAATGTAGCGCGGCGATTTCGACAAGAGAGATGTTCGGACAACGTCTTCTTGGGAGAGGAAATACAGTATTCTCTGCAATACGGCAACTCGGATATCCTATCCATGGAGTTCAAGCTGTCGGAAAATCAAACCCTAGTAGATTGAAAAACACAGATTTCGGCCGCGGTGAATTCGAGGATATTTTTCATTAGGTTAAAAAGTAGCCGCCGCTTTTTTTTCATTTGCTGAAAGTCATGTTAATCATGTAACCCTAATTGAGACTTATGTGAAGTGACATTTTTACCCTCGAACATACCAGCGACTGTTTTCATTGAAGGAACTCTACTTGGGACACGTGGATGAGAAGGAATACAAGTATTTGCTATAATTATTTTATTTTTCCAGTACTCTTGATCGTCTTTTCGATTTCGCAGAAGAAATCACGAGCTTCCTTCACTTTCATTTCTTTGTTCCAATTTTCTTGCGAAAACCAGTGCGGAGTTACTTATCTCGGACGACAAATACGGAACAAACCATTTAAAAGATACGTAAACGAAGACGATCGACCAATTTTCAGAGTCAAATCATCCACCACAACGTGTCGATTACCATCATTAATAACATCGTCGTCTTGACCGAGAACGTGCAGATTGTTGTTGTTCGGGGAACGATGAAAAATTTTCAGACAGATTTTGGAATGACGTAAAGCATGGATAAATTTGCTTAGTATGTGGAACCACGACGGAGCACCATCGACATCGTGACCCGTGATGCACAGTCTTATATTCGACCACCCGAAAGTTTGTGCGAAAGAGACGTACGGGATAACAAACCCCGTATAATCAAAACACACCATGTTTGGAGCGTCGATGCACAATACCCGAGATCGGTCGACCAAATTGCTATAGATTTCCACATTCGCTAGGAATAAATACTTGAGGTTACGCAACTTAAGGCAGTGGAATCGAACCTTACTACCGTAAATCGTGACTTTTTCAAGAACCGGGGCGTCGATTTCAACGTTGCATTCGTCTTTTCGATAAATGGCGTCGTTAACGAAAGAGAAGTGCTTGATATATTTGTGAAGCTTCTTCTCCAACTTGATAGTTTTCAACCCTTTACAATCTTGGAGCCACAATGTAGTAATCAAAGTGCAGCTCGATATTATCTTGTCGAAGATCTCTTGCAGGATCAACGCATTTTCGAGGTGAAGTAGTTGTAGACGCACAAAGGGTATATTCTCTGGAATATTCCATCCCAAATTGCAATAATGGAGCCACAAAACCTTGAGGGATTAGGCTTCTAGGACTACGGGGAGATCGACGATCACCCGAGAACTATTTTCCCGAAGAATATGAAGACAAAAGTCCTTTACGCCCATAGTTGCGAGTTCCGGGATCCACTTATTGAGAAGCGCAAGCGAGTCGCGATCCGACATGCAAAGGTGGAATTCCTCCAAGCGCAGCCTTTGATCGATGTATCGCTGTAAAGTCTCGTCGACAACTGATAAGAATCCTTGTTTCTTACCTTGGAAGTAAACATTTTTGTCTGAAAAAACACGATTGGGGCGGGGAAGCAAACGACATGCAAATTCAAGTAATTCTAATAAAGGGCGTAGTTTGATCGAACATGTAGTTTATTTGAAGAACTTAATTACATTAATGACAACGATTGGAGCTAATTAGCAAACAAATATGCGTTTCAACTAATGTTAATTAAAAGCTTAGTTCATTAGTTAGAAAGCTTAATTACAAAACTCAATTAACAATAAAATAGAGAGCTTATTTGCGTATTTTAGTTAAACTAGATAGGTGAATGTGCCTTGCACGTTTTGTATTAATTTGTTTATGATTTCGATAATCGTTGGTATCTTCATATTTTCTTAATACGGATATGCATTTACACGTATTCCATGTATCTTTAAAGTATAGCTTATATAGAAAATCTTAATACGAGAGCTTAACAAACAAACATGCATGTGTTCGAAGTAGATTTAAATGAGAGTTTAGACTTTTACTTAGAGAACTTACTAAACAAACATGCATTCCATGTAAAGTTAAAAGAGAGCTTATTAGATAGAGAGTTTAACCAATAAATATGTAGTTCAAGTAGTTCTAACCATGTATTTAATAATTAGGTAGAGAAATTGGTTAGATGGTTTAACAAATAAAATGCATTCCAAGTAATTTTAAAGGAATTTTAAAGGAGAGCTTAGATAGAGAGTTTAATTGGAGAGATTAGTTAACGAGCTTAGCAAACATACATACATACAATATGTTCTAAGTAGTTGGAGAGCTTATAAGATAAGGATCTTAAACCGAGTATTATATATTACTTGTTGTTTGAAGAAATTAAAATAAGAAAATCTTGATGTTATGCATGTATTTGAATGATGTAGTTTTCATAACTCCGATGTGGTGCATAATCTGCGATTGAATGTTGGCCATTTATTTTCATTTCCATTTTTCTTCAATGGCTTGTTTGGTATTAGTCCTCCGAGAAAAGAAAAGGGATTGAAACTAAAGGACTTTGTTGAGTTTTTCTACATTATAAAAATGACGGGTGGAAACCAAGATTAGATCTCGCAAGATTTGAATGATTTAACCAAGATTTAATGAAAGCCGACAAGAATTACAACCTTTACAGTTGGCTAATTATGTATGACAAGCTCCATCTATCGACCGTATTTCTGAAAGTTTAGAACACAATTGGAATTAATTTCACTCAAATTCCGGTCCGACCCAATTCGTCCTGTACACACTATCCTACCGAACGAATTACGAAAGAAGCCCTTACATTGTAAAAAAGTTACAGCCAATGATTGGTTAGTTTTGGTCGGATCCACGGGACGTAACATATTCCGGATCCACCAGATCACCCCTCCAATCATCTTCTTCTCTAATGTTCCAAATAAGAACGTTCCAGACACTCCAGAAAGCTCTTTTGTACATAAAACCATCAAACCCAATATTCAAGCCTTTTAGCTAAACCCAGTGAGAGAGAGAGAGAGAGAGAGAGAGAGAGAGAGGAGAGAGAGAGATTATGGCTCTGTTTGGTGATCCATTCAGGCGATTCTTATTGAGCCCAACAATCTACCGTACAAATCCAGGATCGACGGCCCTTCTCGACTGGCTAGAATCCCCTACGACGCACATATTCAAAATCAATGTTCCAGGTTCGTCAATTCCAATTCCAATTCCAATTTTCCTCCAAAATTAAAACCATATTCGAAATTCATAAATCTCAATTTCTACGTCGTGTTTGGATGCAGGGTATAGGAAGGAGGATATAAAAGTGGAGTTGGTGGAAGATGGGAATATACTGGTGGTCAGAGGTGAAAGCGGCGGGAAAGAGAGAGAGAAGAAAGACGACGTCGTTTGGCATGCGGCGGAGAGGGCGGCGGTTGGGGGAGGGGATTTCTCGAGGGAGATTGAATTGCCGGAGAATGTGAAGGTGGAGCAGATCAAAGCTCAGGTGGAAGACGGCGTGCTTACCGTGGTTGTACCTAAAGGTACAACTCCCAAGCGTGCTAGAGTTAGGAATATTAATGTTACTAGCAAACTTTGAATCTGTTGTTACTGTGTGTGTTTGTATGATAAACTTTATATTTTAGATGTGTAATTGCGTTTGCGTATCAATTTTCTCTAGTATATTACTGGCTGTGTTGCTTTTTTTGCTAACTCTAGTTAACTTTCTTTGAGTAGTGTTTGCAAAATGATTTAAAAGAAAAATTAAAAGAAATGCTTGTACTACTTTAATAGATTGCTATGTCTAACGCGGATTTCGATTCGAAAATATCTGAATTTGAATTTTGTTTTCCTCATCGATTTTAATGAAATGACTCAAACTCGACCCTACTCATAATTAGTTAGGATCGGCAAAAATAAATTTGGGCCGACCAATTTGGTTTGGGTAGGCCCGGTTTTGGGTCGGCCCGACTCAACTGCGGGTCCTATCTGTAACTATCTAATTTAATACTTGTGGGGTTATATCAAATTGCTCCTGCAATCAATTTATCTTGAATTTTGCGGTTGGAATCTTGGAAAGATTAGTGTGACTATTAACATAGAGGTGTTCATTTGGTAAAACTACGCGTGCAAGTTGGAACGAAATTTTTAATTTCCACCGACTTGATTTGAATTTTTTCAATTTTCAAACACTATTTATCATTCTGATTTCCAATGTCCAAGTTTTAATTAGAAAATTCAAATAATTCAACAAATGTGCTTAAGGAACACTACTTAACGTGGATTCAGTATTTCACAGTTATAGATGATATTTTGGAAGATCGACACAAACAATGTCTAACAAATGTGTTCATTTCTGCAATAATTCTACATACTGATTATATTCTTGTTTCTTCGTGTATGTATATAATGAAAACAAATTTTCTTATATACGAAGTTAAAACTAGTGCATACTTGTACAAATTTTAAGCCAACGAAAAATTGGTACTTCCTAAACAAAATTTAACCGTTTGATCATGTGATTAATTCAACTAAGTAGTTTAGTTCTTTAGATAGGTACTTCAAGCATCTTAACAAGTCTATCAAATCGTTGCAAGAGAGGCTAAAAAATATCCACAACATAAAAGTTACGGAGCTTATACAAAACTGTGACTTGTGACTTGTTGAAGAAAGCTTTCTTTGATAAAACTAAAGGGCAATGTAAAGAAGATGGAATGATATTTTAAAAAAGTGTGATTGGCTATCATTAACCATCACTATGGTGATTGATTGAACCCTATTATTTATCGTCTAGCACCTTGGTGCCATTATAAGTGCATGATTCAACTACATTTCTAAAGATTCAGCGCTCACAAATTTTTAATTTAGCATATCATGGGTCTAAGATATCTTCACTGACTATGTAATTCATGTCCATGGCCGATTCTGAGAATTTGAATGCCCTAAGATATTTAATATAAATCATTTGTTGAGGACTTGGTATTTTTTATGTGTTTTATTAAGTGCTTATAAGTATGTTTGATAGGTTTACAAATGAAATGGTGCTCATGTTTATACTACTTAACTTCCCTAATGCATAATGTAAATGAATTTAATCTTATGATTGAGAGCGACTCAATCAATATTCTAGGTACATTCTAGAAGGTTGATCAGTACAGTGGAGATGTGTCTAGGAGTATTTAGAAATCTCTACAAGTTGGTGACGACTTCCTATATATTTCTAGAATATTCCTATCTCAAGTGATATACTTTCGAATTTAGTTGTTTCAGCTAGTTTTTTTGGTCTACTAAGAACATTTTTAAATAAGCTTATGCAAATTTTCAAATATTTTTGTTGCTTTCCTAATTATTTACACGATTGAATGATCAATTGCAAATTGATTGTTGATACTAAGATTTATTTTGAATATGTTTGTATGAAAATATATAAAAATAATTTACATATAAATAAAAACTTATACATGCTTATATAGCATATTTAAAAATATACCCTATAATTTTAATATTTACATGTTTCCCCAAGTTTCCTTACCGCCCAATTTTTGGAATATATCTTCTCCCCATGTTCGTTTCCCTATTTCCATAATATCACCATTTTCGTGTTCGTGCTACATAGGTGAAAAATTAAAATCAATTAAAATTTCTTATATGTCTTTTTTTTATATGAAATTTTGGATTGCCAAATATTGGGATTTAAAGAAAAAATAATCCATTTTTTTTTATTGAAATCTGTAAAGTTCATAAATTCGTCCACATAATTTTACATATACTCATATAAATAAATGTGTGCGAAAAATATATATTTCGATGAATACATGTGTAATGTAAGAAATGAAATATGTAGGTGTGCATCGTTAGATAATGAAAATCAATCGTAGATACAACATGTGAAATTCTAGGGATGAAAATGAGTCGAGCCAACTCGAGCCCATTTACAGTCCATGACCTCACAAGTCAGCTCGTATAGGTTTGATATGCCAATCGTATCAAACCCCTCATATCATACCATTATTGAAATTTTGATATGATAATATTTATTACTCATTTCCCTATAAAAAACGTGTGATAAAAAAAAATATGTGTGATGACATATGATAATAGTATTAACAGTGGTGAAAATTGGAACGACATTTTAGAATTTCACCTATTCTGATTGAAATGTTTTTCGATTTTAGAACAATATTTTTCATTTCAAATTCTAAAACTATGATTTATGATTTTTCCGAATCTCTAGAACGTTAATAAAATAAATATTAGATTATGAATAGGTATGGTAGAGCAATCGATTGGTCGGACATTTTGTTAAAAAAGCCACATTGTTGAGGAATATTACTAGGAGATAAGCCCGCACATATCGCGCATCATAACAATCTCCATTTCATGAGGCGACATGCTACACGTCGGCTGCGAAATTTCATGTTGTCAACCGACACGAGAATATCTAGGGGTACAGTAGACATACACACAGTACAAGAAAGACCCAACTTATTGACCGATCAATTAGTTGACCGACCAAGCACCGGGCTGTATACAAAAGCTGGTTACACCTTTTGGGAGGCCTACGCCCCATAGAAACTGTCTACCTGAGACTGTTCCTTAAGACCGCAGGTCCTGACACAAGGCTAGAATTCTAGCTCTTCCATAGTGTTATCGCACACATGGCTCGGGCCCCCTCTGAAGGAGGCCTTCTTTTCCTTCCACCTAACCTGCGCAAGGAAGGCCCAAACGCAATCCTCGGGAACATTCAAGCTTCATAGAGTCTTTTTGTCTAGGTGAAGGTAGTCCGCATCTTCACAAACATGTTTATTTCACCGAGCCTCTCTTCGAGACAATGCCCAGATCGCTATGCCTTTCGTATGGGTCAAAATTTAACTGAAAAATAATTTCGCTGGTTAAAATTTCTAAGACCCATCAGCCGCCGAGTTAAGCCGGGCATTTAACCTTTTTAATAAATAAAAATAAAATCAAAAAATGATTTTCTCTTTTTTTTTTTTTCTTTTTTTTAAACATTGACAATCATACCTATTCATTTCTAACCAAATCCAGCATGTTGTTGTTTAGTCTTTTAACAAAATATAACTAATATTCAACGGTTATTTTGACTCCACCGGGGCACCAGTTAACCCGTTCGAGTTGTCTGGAACAGTCTAGAGACCGTGGATTACTACCATTCCAGAATCATCTTCCATTCGAGCCGGTTCCGGCTCTTAAAACCCTAACTCAGTGGCCGGGGGTTTAGCACCATGGGTAATGAAATCCAATAATAGATACAACACTTGAAAGTCTAGGAATGTAAATGAAACGAACTACTTCACAAAAGCACAAGCTCGAAATTTCTGACGAGCTCGAACTCGAGTCTAATTATAGTTGTCCATGAGCTCACAAATCAGCTCGCGAAATTATATTTATATTTATTTTTATTCTAGATATAAGTAATATTATAATAATATAACAAAAATACATAAATAAATACATTAATTATTTTGCAATTTTGTAATTAAGTTATTATGACGATATATAAATATAGAATATATAAAAAATAATAATAGTAAGAAATATTTATTATTAATACAGAATATCTAAAAGAAATAATAAATAAAGAAAAATGAGCCCAATAGGCCCATCAAAAGATACTTTTCTTAACCAACACTCTCTCTCTCACCAGTCACCACCAACCCACTCGCTTCTTCATTTTCTCTCCCAAAGCGAAATTCCCCTTTTCCTCTCTCTCTCTCTCTCTCTCTCTCAGATCAGATTCTACAACCAAAAAAATGGCGTTGGAATGGGTGGTTCTCGGGTACGCCGCGGCGGCGGAAGCGATCATGCTCCTCTTCCTCACCCTGCCGGGTCTCGACCCGATCCGCAAGGGGCTAATCAGCGTGACCCGGAGCCTCCTGAAGCCGTTCCTCTCCGTCGTCCCCTTCTGCCTCTTCCTGCTGATGGATATCTACTGGAAGTACGATCACCTCCCCCACTGCGAGTCCGAATCCTGCACACCGTCGGAGCATCTCCGCCACCAGAAGTCAATCATGAAGTCCCAGCGCAACGCCCTCCTCATCGCCTCCGCCCTCGTCTTCTACTGGCTGCTCTACTCTGTCACCGCCCTCGTCGTCAAGATCGATGTCCTCAATAAGCGGATCGAGAAATTGAAGGCCCAGGATTGATCGATTCGATCGATCGATTGAATTTTTCAGAAATGTTAGTATTTTCCTACATTATTTCTGCGAAATGTTTTTTTCTTTCATGAACTGAGATTATGGTTTAAATAATTGTTTAGGATCTGATTCCGATTCTCGATTTTTGATTTTCGATTTTTCGGTTTATGTTGTTGTATGGTGCTCTTACACGTTTTAATTAATTGCTAGTTTCTGTTGATTTTCGTGTGGTTTCCGATTACCGAAGAATTTTATGAAATCAGTGTCTTCTACAGTTATCTTTTTTCCCTGTTGGTTGATTTGATCTGATGGAAATTAGGGTTTACTTAGTATATTGGAATCCGGTTACTTCTTGAGTTGTAGTTCGATTATGCGTGTTTAGTAGTTGTTCATTTTGAAAGAAATTCATTGAGCTGGTTCGAAAATTCCCTTTAGTTTCCAGGTTAATTAATTTAGATGATCAATTGTTTCCCGTACTCGAAAATCGATTGTTTCTAACTTTTGAGCATGTCCTTTTATTTGTTACTATGAAAAAATGACTTGTGTATATTCGATATACGAATTGTTCTGGTCGTGTGCGTTTTTTTATGATTGCTGCTCATGTCTTCCTGGTATTGTAGAGATATTCGTGTACTTGAAAAATTAATCGGACGGGGATAAAAATCTAATCAGTAACATTAGAATTTGATTAGTTGGTCAAGACTTGCTGTTTTGTTACGGTGTTAGGTGAAGGATCTTAAAACTCGAGAGTTTAAGAGGGTTGTCGAACAACTCGTTGTTTAGTTTATCTACACAACCTTATTTGATTAGTAATTATTCGGTTTTGGAGCTGCAAGTATGTTTTAACTATTGCGCTGAAACTGCGTATATTTTGATAGCAACTTATATTTTAATACGCATCAAATGCAAGACGTTCCTGCACTTTAATTGTGCTAAACCTCAAAATTTAGTTGGATGAGGATAACGATATAATCAATTACGGGGTGAAGTCCGATGTATGATAATTCAAGCATTTTTGTGTTTAATAGTAGGAGAGTAATATTTAGAATTTGTATCTACCAAACTAGGCTTTATTGGTACTTGTGAGGTTTTTATTGGTAATATCTGTGTTTTTTGTTTGTTTTGACGTTCGATTGTGGAGTTCTTTAGATGAACCTGTGTAAATCTGTTTATTACAAGGGCGAGCCCGGAAACTCGTTTCTGTCATTCGGTAATGCCCATAATGTACATAGATGTATTTTGGCAGCTATGTTTTCGTAAACCTGATAAAAGTTATTTCATCGAGGTTCTTGTTCTTGAATTTGAAAAATTCACAAGGCTATGTGATTATATAGGATATGATATAGCTGTCACGACACTTAAAATTTAGTGAAAACATGAAAGATGTTCGAATTTAGCAATGCGACTCAAAAATGTATGTTTTGGCAACTTGTTCTGTATTGTTGTTTGGTTTATGTAATCGAAACGAGACTATATAAAGCACGACTGTGTGACCTCGGAGCATTGCAATCCCCGACCTGTAGAACCAGCCAAAAACAAAGAAAAAAAAATTAATTAATTTCTTTGTACAAGATGTTTGCAGCAAGATTCTATTTTGATGCTAGATTCCTGATGTTAAATACTCCAAGAAATAGGATCAGCGAAACGGGGTAGATGTAATTTTCCAAACATGAGTTTTTTTTCCATATTTGAATGGGGTAGATGTAATTTTCCAAACATGAGTTTTTTTTCCGTGATTTGACCATATCTCTAACGTGGTTGTAATTTACCCCATATATAATCTACGGTTAATGTGTATATATATATATATATATATATATATATATATATATATATATATATATATATATATATATATATATATATTCCAAAAATTCAAAAGTAACAAATAGGGCCCTTAAAATATAGATCCATGGCAACAAAATTTATTAGAATTAAATGAGGAGTCCAACTAAACATTTTCTTCACATTCTTTATTAAATTTATTTCAGAATCGCCCTTTCAAACACAAATTCGAAATATGCATTCAGTAACATTTAGACTGCATTTATTATTTTTTTATGCATTTAATATCTTAATTTTTTCATCTAACATATTTTACTTTATTTTATTGATACGGACTTTTTCATCTTTATTTTATTTTTGTTAAATGGTACAACAGACTTGTAAAAGTGACGTACTATTGTATACTATGGTATACTATAATAGTATACTATGGTGTACTATAGTTTACTAGTTACTATTATTGTATACTACTATGGTATACTATGGTATACTATTCCAAACATATCATCGAACAACTCTCAGTCGCCGCCATACCCTAACATCTAACATCTCCCAGCCATCGTCAAACGATAGCAGCCAATAAATTTCAGCCATCGCCAAACACTAGCAACCAACAACTTTCTAACCACCGCTAAACCTTAGCAACCAACAACTCTCTAGCCAACACCAAACCCTATCTACTAAAACCTAGCCGTTTACCAACCCTAACTGCCCACCTAATTTAAATCCTAGTCGCTATAGCCGTCGCCTTCCACCATAAATTTACACTCACACCACCATAGCTACTTCCTCTTGCCTCCATAAATACTAATAAATGTTTTTTTAAATAACTAGCCAAAATTGCATAACGTAAGAGTTCTACTTTGTTTTTGTGCTATAAACTTTTTCCATTTGCCGCCACCACCATAGCACCACCTCCTCGGCCCAGGATGGGAGGGAGGGAGAGGGAGGGGGAGGGGGGGAGAGAGAGAGAGAGAGAGAGGTGAATATAAATGTTAAATATAGGGTAAAAGGGCAAACTAGGAATAAAAAAAAACAATTAGAGATGTTAGTCATATTATATGAGCTTATTGCAAATACCACCCCTGTGTAATCTCTAATTGACAAATAACTCCCTGTGATAAAAAAACTCACTAACTCCCCCCTGTGTTAACATTTTCGAAGCACACTGCACCCTTTTTGATTTTAGGCTTTGACTAATGATGAATAGACAAAAATGCCCTAAGGGGTTTTTTAGCAATTAGTAAAGTACAAAATACCAAATTTTAGAATCACTTTAATTTTATAAATATTATGTATTTATTTTGAATAAAAAAATATAAACAAGAATTAAATATATATTATAATATTAAAAGTTCTTATATGCCTTTTATAATGTTTTTATATTCTTTTTAATTATGTATGTTACATTTTATTAAATAATAATAATAATCATTAAAAAAAATAATAAACAAAAAAAAAGTTGTTCTTCTCCAGCCCACCCACCCACCTACCTGCCCGGCTCAACCTGCTGCTGCTGTTCTGCTACACTACTACCACCGGCACCATAACCATCTTCTCCGGACCCACCACCACAACAATAGTAAAAATGGTAGATATAAATACACAACAAAAAGAAACATATATAAAGAGCGGCGGCGGATCTATATTCCGGCGACGGAGAGACTCTCGATCTCGATCTCGTCTCGGTCTCTCTCCATACAAATCTCGTCACAAGTAACTTTTACAATTCTTCAATTATACACAACTATCTCTATCACTAAAAAATGGGTGGTGCGAGACCGGCGGCGGTGTCGAGGGAGAGAATTTTATAGTGGCTGGGTATCGGTCGTGCGAGACGGTGGTGTTGTAGTCGGAACGAATTTGAAGAAGTGGGTGGAAGGCGGTGTAGTGGGAACGAATTTGAAGGAGGCGGGGGAAGGTGGTGGTGCGAGACGAGCGGCGATGGTGAACTTGTTGGAGGTGGGCCGACGGAAACGAGGAAGAAGATGTGCAGTCTCCTTTTTTTTCAATGGTTTATTATTATTATTATTTTGTAATTTTGAAAATTACAATTTAGTCCTATAAAGTTAGATAATTTAAATTAAACCAATCTGGTTTTTTTCCTTTTATAAAGAAGGTTATTTATGTCATTTCACCCTGAAAATAGAATAAAAATTCGCACAATCCGCGAGTGAGAGACACGATTTGCCTCCAGGGGTCCGGATGCCTTGACTTTGTTAACACAGGGGGGAGTTAGTGAGTTTTTTTTTCACAGGGGGGTATTTGACAATTAGAGATTACACAGGGGTGGTATTTGCAATTAGCTCCATATTATATTTTAGGGCAAATGGAAAAGAGGGACATGACAAGGGACTTAAAGTTAAATGCACATTGGTCCACAAAAAAACAGTCTTCAAATAAACTCATCCCATATCTTTAATCTAAAATACCCTTCATAATAGACATGGCCACGGGGCGGGTCGGGTCTGGGTCCGGATCCGACTTTTAGGGGACCCAAAACCGACCTGTGGGGAGGCGGGTCCAGGTCAGGGGCGGTCCACCCGAGTCCATCCAGATTCGGGCCGGGTTCGGGTCGTGTTCGGGTCCATACCGGTTTTTCAATTTTTTTATTTTTTATTTTTTATTTTTTATTTTTTATTTTTTTACAAGAAAGATAAAAAAAACTTGAAAAAGACATGAGATTAACTTTAAATTCAAAATAAAAAAAAAATAATTGAATTTAAACACTAAATAATTTTAGAAAAAAATGAAACGATTAAGACATTGAGACATGAACTAAATAAAATGAAAGTTGTGAAGATTGGATTATGGGTATTTATAACTGAAAATAATTATTGAATTTTTTTTCAAAATTTCAATATTCAAAACAAAATCAAAATTCAATCTTTCTTTTAAATTAAATCGTATTTTTTTACATTTTCAAAATTAAATATATATGCATTTGTTATTAGTCGAGATTTTTGATATTAATAATAGTCAACATGACAATTAATAATTTATAAAACATTAGTTATACAATTATTATAATCATTTTACAGTGTTATTTATATTTATATA